ACTTCAAAATATCGTCGACGACATATTTCCTCGTCGACGCATCGCCACACAACACCGCTATCTAGCCGCTACTAACCCGGAACGAACAAACTGCACAGAGAGCTAACTCATGTTGTGGTCGTTTACGAGTCAAACATAACATTAGACTAACGTTAGTCAGCTTATAGTATAAATGTATGTGAACTAACGGAGCCAAGCAATGTCCAGGCCAGGGCTGCACGTGAGCTGGTGCGCAGTTGTCATGAATAAAGTAATGTTTTTTGGTATTTATTTGAGATACATTATGTTTTTTATAAATCGAACAACAGAAAAAGAATCGTTAGATTAGTCGACTAATCGATGAAATAATCGCCCGATTAATCGTTTTCAAAATAATCGTTTCCCCCCAGCACTAGGGAATGCACACAAACCCTTTCTCAATGTTCAATGTTTTGTCTCCTCAACTCCTCAATCCATCTCGCCATTTTGATATTTCCCAAGCTTCTCTGCCTTCTTCTGCTGTTTGTCCACCACCATGATGTCCGGTTGGATAGCCCTCATCATTCTATTAGTCTGGATATGGAAGTCCCACGGGATCTTAGCTTTTTCATTCACAGCCACCGCCCATTTTCCCCATGTCACTTCATGATGTTCTCCTGGATCTTTGTCGTTTCATCCCAGATCCCCCCCTTTCCCTTAGTGTTTAGTCTCTCATATGTATGTATGTATATATATGTGTATATATATATGGCCAATACTTTTGTATATATAGTGTGTATATATATACACATACTATATATACAAAAGTATTGGGGCTACAGGAACTTTTATGATAGGGCCAGTGAGTCCAGTTATTCCACACCAAACTCATCCAACCAGGCCTTTATGGACCTTTCTTTCTGCACTGAGGCACAGTCATGCTGGAACAGAAAAGGTCCTCCCACAAACATTTTCCACAGAGTAGGAAGCATAGAATTGTCCAAAATGACTTGGTAAGATGAAGCATTAAGAATCCGCTTCAAGGGGCGGAGGCCAACCTCAGAAAACCAGCCATAGCATTATCCCTCCTCCACCAAACTTTACAGTTGGCACAATGCAGTCAGGCAGGTAACGCTCTCCTGGCATTCGCCAAACCCAGACTCGTCCATCAGACGGATAGAGAAGCGTGATTGGTCACTCCACAGAACACGTTTCCACTGCTCCAGAGTCCAGTAGCGGCGTGATTTACACCCCTCCATCCGATGCTTGGCATTGTGCTTTGTGATGAAATGCTTGATGCAGCTGCTCAGCCATGAAAACCCATGAAGCTCCCACAGTTTGGTGCTGATATTAATATATATAAATCTAGAACTCTGCAGTTATTGAGTCAGCAGAGTTTTGGCCACTTTTACACACTATGCGCCTCAGCACCAAATAGTGAGCCCACATTTATCTGTACCGCTAAGCCTTGTATTGGCTACCTAGCTTACTCCGTCTTCTTCATCAGCTAACATCCTTGGTATCTATTGTTCACAGAGTTGATTCTCCTCCCCATCCATCTTGATGTCTCTTGCCATCTCTTATGACCATTTATGAATATGTTACTAACATTTATAACTGCCAAAAGGGAGCCTTATTGTAAAGTGTAAAACACATTCCCATTTATTAATGAGTTACTACCATTTCGAATTGGTAAAAGGGAGCCTTATTGTAAAGTGTGAAAGTTGATGAGTCACTAACATTTATAACTACTGAAAGGGTGCGTTGTTTTTAAGTTTAATACACATTCTTCTGTTAGACAGCTATCATACTGAATAAATATTTACTGTGAATGTATGCAAAAATGTATGGCATATGGCTGTCTAACAGAAGTTAAATCCATTTCTCACTTATTCTGACAATGTACTTAACCCCAAATAAAAGAACCCAATAAAAAGAGTTAAATAATAGTGAAGTCACGTTGTAATAACAATAACTCATCTCCCTCGAGTTTTATTTTTCAGCTTTGCCAAAAGCCACTGTGTCAAGTGCCCTTCTTGGGTTGCCGTCTGGAGTTCTCCAATATGGCGGACCATCTCACACATGCGCAGTACAGATCGGGCAGGGGGACAGATCGGGTAGTGACGCCCGTTAGTGTTTACTTCCCGTCCGTCTTCTTCTGCTGTTCCCGTTAGTGTTTACTTCCTGTCTGTCTTCTTCTGCTGTTCCCGTTAGTATTTACTTCCTGTCTATCGTTTCTTCTATATATTTTTCTGACGTTCAAAGCTCTGTCTTTTCTTTTCTCCCTTGATACTCCTTATAAAGGGTCATTATTTTGCTAAGCAGCTGTGTGCTATCGAGTATTAACAACCTGTGAAATGTCCAAATGACTGATGATGAGTAAACAACTAACTTGTGTAATAATACAGTATACAGTAGGCCTATTTAAAAAACAAATAGTTGAACAATTATTAACAAGCAGCAACATAAAAGTAATTATCAGATATTGCGTATTTATTTATTATTTAGTATTTTTACACTGTGTTACTCAATATCTCAAACA